GGGGGGAGAGGGGGAATCCTATCTAATAAAAGGTAATAAAAGGGTAATATGCAAATTAACCATCACTCCAACACACAAGATGGCCACCCCCATGTGTCAAAGATGGCCACCCCCATGTGGACACAATATGGCCACCACAAGATGGTCAGCAGGGGAGGGCAGTTGGGAGGAACCAGGCCTACAAGGGAGAGCAGTTGGGGGCAATCAGGCCTGCAGGGGAGGGCAGTTAGGGATGACCAGACCAGTAGAGGAGGGCAGCTATGGGGGATCAGGCCTGCAGGGAGGGCATTTGGGGGGGACCCAGGCCTTCAGGGGAGGGTAGTTGGGGGACCAGCCCTGTAGGGGAGGGTTGTTGGTGGGGACCAGGCCTGTGGGGGAGTGCAGTTAGAAGTGACCAGGCTGGCAAGGGAGGGCAGTTAGGGGTGACTGGGCCAGTAGAGGAGGGCAGTTATGGGTGACCAGGCCAGCAGGGGAAGGCATTTAGGGTCAATTGGGATGGCAGGGACCAGTTAGGCATCGATCAAACTGGCAGGGGAGTGGTTAGGGAGTGATCAGGCTGGCAGGCAGAAGCAGTTAGGGGCAGGCAGATAAGCAGTTGGGAGTCAGCAGTCCTGAATTGTGAGAGGGATGTCCCAGATTGGAGATGGTTCAGGCTCAGTTGCGGGACACACTACCACCCCCCATGCATGAATTTCATGCACCAGGCCTCTTGTCCAATTATAGTCTTAATATTTGATGGGTAACAAGAAATATGATGCTAGAAATATTCATTAATGATCAGCATGATCACCCTATGAGTCGTTTCAGCACTTCCTTTTGTCCTTAATTCCTCCGTGATTTTTTTAAAATTTTGAGTTACTTGCATTCAACCTTAGAAAGTTCATTCTGAAGAGTAGAATACAGAGTAATAACAGCATCTAAAAACAACATGCAGCCCTAACTAGTTTGGCTCAGTGGATAGTCCCAGGTTTGATTCCAGTCAAGGCCACATATCTCAGTTTCAGGCTCCTTGCTAGCCCAGGCCCTGGTCATAACATGTGCAGGAGGCAACCAATCGATGTGCGTGTTTTTCTCACATCGATATTTCTGTCTTTCCCTCTTTCTTCCACTCTCTAAAAATCAATGGAAAAATATTCTTGGATGAGAATTTTAAAAATAAATAAATATCTATATATCTATATATCTATTTATCTATTTATCTATTTATCTATTTATCTATTTATCTATTTATCTATATATCTATATATCTATAAGGTTAACATGCAAAGTGTTTCCTCTGGAGTTCGACACGGAGTTCAATTGTTCACTATGATGTGTGCTGACTATCAGGAGATGGCATGGAATGAAGGAAGGCCCCAGCCTGCAGCTGGCAGCCAGGGAAGGAAGGCCCTGATCACTGGCCAGGCCTAGAGACCCTACCTGTGCATGGATTTTGTGCACCAGGCCTCTAGTATATAATAAAGAGCTAATATGCTAATTAGACAGAACAGCAGATTGATCATTTGGACAATCTTCTGGACAAAGCTGAGGCTGCAAGGGACAAGTTCTTTGCACAAATTTCATGCATCAGGCCTCTAGTAAATAAATAAAAATAAGATGCAATAGTAGTATTGATAAGATGAATGGTACTTTACAATTCAGGCGGGCCAAGACTTATGATTTAAGCTTTTTGAGCATTATTTATTCCCTCTCTTTTTTTTCTCTCTCTCTCTCTCTCTCTCTCTCTCTCTCTCTCTCTCTCTCTCTCTTTCTCTCTCTCTCTCTCTCTCACACACACTCACTCACACTTATTCACTTGCAAATTCCATACCTATAAGATAAAATTTCACCACTGAGGATCTGAGTTTTGGAGAGCTCAGATTGTGCCAAAGATCAAACAGTCAGAAAATGGATCCAGGAGTGACCTTTCAATGGCCTTGACATTTTAGTTCCTAAGGAACCACTTGAGGGCTGTGGCACTGCTTTGAAGGAGGGACCTTGTCTTATTCAAATTCATACCAGCTCCTAGCACAGAACAGAATGGAACAAGGGGGTGATGTAACTCATACTTTATTTTAAGAAGATAAATCTGGCAAGGAAGAGTGGGATGAAGAGAGCAGGGAAAGACTGGTGGCATGGAGACCAGTTTGGATGTTAGTGGAATAATACAGAGAAAAAGGTCATGAGATTATGAATGAGGGAACAGCATAGAGAATAGAAAAGCAATGAATGTGAAAGAAATTTAGGAAGAGTGGGTCCATGGGACTGGGTGGCCTGACCATGTGCAGGCAGTGAGGAGTACCGGGCCTTTGATAAATACCCACTAATGCAGCAAATATTTCTCTTTTTAAAAAAATATATTTTATTGATTTTATACAGAGAGGAAGGGAGAGAGATAGAGAGTTTAGAAACATCGATGAGAGAGAGTCATCGATCAGCTGCCTCTTGCACACCCCCTACTGAGGATGTGCCCGCAACCAAGGTACATGCCCTTGACCAGAATCGAACCCGGGACCTTTCAGTCCCCAAGCTGACGCTCTATCCATTGAGCCAAACCGGTTTCGGCAGCAAATATTTCTTATGTGTTTGCCAGAAACTATTCTCAATGCTGGGATACAACCGTCAACAAGGCAAAGGGGGGGGGGGGGGGCGGTTTGCTCTCATGGAGGTAATCTTCTCATTGGGGGATACATCAGTCAGGGTTCCAAACATGATGTCCCACTATATATTTTTAAGGAGTTGGCTCATGTGACTGTAGGAGCTGGCAAGTCTGAAATCTGCAGCGCAGGGCTGCAGGCTGAAAACTGCACAGCAGTTAATGCTGCCTCCTTGCGCCAGAATGCCTTTTCTTAAGAAGGTTTTGCTCTTAAAACTTTTCAACAGATTAGAATAGGCCCACCTAGATTGTTTGAGATAATCTCCTTTATTTAAAGTCAACTGATTATGCATATTAATCATAATTACAGACTATCTTAGATTAGTTTTTGGTTGAATAGCCTGACCCAGTTGTCATATAGCACTAACCCTAACCATTGCAGAGGCTGTAAGACCAGTGAATGGAAAGAAATCATGCAGAGTGTTAGGCAAGAAGCACTCATTCTGTGAATTGGATACTCAGGGAAGTCTTCTCAATGTGAGTAGTAGATCTTCATCCTACAGATGAGGCAGATGAGACGTGGCGATATTAAGTAACTTCTTTAAGCTAAAACAGCTAATGAGGGGGCCTGCCCTCATTCCCACTCCAGTCTGTGTTCAGGACACACAGCAGAGCCTGCCTCCCAGGGCCTGTCAAAGGGGCCAGAATGTTTGACTTGGTTCCCAGGAGGAACACCAGGTGGTGAGCCAAGTCAGGTTAGGAACTTGTTTCCTGAAGGTAGAGTCTGAACATAGGGAGAGAGGGATATCTCGGGGAGAGGGGTGGTTGTACAGGCAGGACTCCATCCAGCTGAGCCCCTTCCTCACTGTGCTGGGACCACTTCTTCCAGTGGCCAGCTCAGGGCTTTTGTCCACCCAGTGGTTCTACATAGAATACCCTCCTTCCTCTTCCCACCCCTTCACGTGGATGTCTATGCAGCCCTCCAGTCTTAGCTTCGGCACTTCATCAGGAAACTCTCCTTGTTATTAATATAATCCTCCCCACTCCTGTCTTCTAACATGGTACTTAGCACTGGTGTCATTAAGCCGTTTATTTTATATTATTATCTTATTCATGTCTTCATCTCCTGTTATACTCCCTAAGGGAAGAGGCTAAATCTCCATTATGCCGACTCCCGATGATGAGCACAATTCTTGGCAGACACTACTTGTTGGATGAAGGAGTGAATGAGGGAATGAATGAATGAGATACATGCCTCCCAAGCAGTGAATCTGCAGGGCATTCTAAACAGTAATCTGCAGACACAGTGACACATCCAAGTTGTCATTCTCCTTTTTTCTAATCACCAATCTGATCATATCCTCTATACAGCTAATCCCATCCTTGGCACATAGCGACTGCCCAAGTTCAACTGAAAGGGCAGCCCCTTCCTGTATAGTTCTCTCGTTTGAGGCAGGGAGGACTTTTTAAGCACTTGGCCCAAAGCCGTCTAACACCAAGAACTTTGTGAGAACTGTTAGAGTGAGAGAAGAACGAGAAGAGAGAGAGTGGGAGTGCTCCAGGTTTAGGGGACCCCTGAGGAGAGACCATCAGGCATGGATGCCATGTCCTGAGGAAGCCCTCACCCTTAAGACAGACAGTTTCACTTCTTGCTCCAGGCAGGCGCGTCTGACTGCTTCTGCCCGTGGCCTGGAGTCTTTTGAGTGAGAAAACAAGCTTCTGACTCCAACAGTGTCTGACAGAGTGCCAAGGGGAGAGGCAGTTCAGTCAGACGCCCTCTCGCATCCTCCAAACGCCCCCTTAGCCCGTCCCCAGATCAAAGCTCAGAGGACCTGGCACCAGCGAATGGAGGGGAGTTGCGCACATACATCATCTATCCAAACAGAAAAGGTTACAGCCCCTCTCACTCTGGCTTCTGACTTGACAACCAGCAGCCTTGACAACTAACAAGACCATGTGTGTTGTTAAATGCTCCCAGGATCTCCTCTTTCCTTTATGTCAGACCTCCAACTATTAATGGAAAGAAGCCTCTGTTTTGCAGTTGTCTTCCGACTGTGGGGAAAGAAAGTCTGGGGTTCTGTACACGTATATCTATCAAGTCACCATGACAGGTCTGTTCGAGTTTCTCTCCTCGTGTTCTTTCCAGTAAACATGTTTCCTGTTGAAAAAGAGAAACGTCGCTCTGTCTCTACACTTTCTGAAACTTGTTCTGTAGGGCAGTCCTGGGGTCCAGACGGAGTTTGGCTGCACCGCCGTAGGGGATGACAGGACAGGACGCACATTGGTCCAGGTGTTAGGAGATGGAGGTTCGAGTCTTGGCTCTGCCACTGAGCAGCTGAGTGACTCTGGACACGCGTCTGGGCCCTAGTGGACTAGGGAGTCTCTGCAGTTGCCGCCGCTCTAAGCTGTATGGTTCTCATTGCAGGCATCTTTTCCACAAGTCCTGTGTTGACCCCTGGCTCCTAGACCATCGCACCTGCCCCATGTGCAAGATGAACATTCTTAAAGCCCTAGGGATCCCGGTAAGCACAGCACAGCCTACAGCCTCGTCATGTCTGTCTTTCTGCATTACCCCCGGAGCAGGGAGAATACCTCACACCTGGCTTTCCCTTTGCCCCCTCAACCCCACGGCCCAGGCGTCCTCCGATGAGGCCCTAAGGGAATGCCCATGTCTGCAAACACTTGACCTTCTCCCCACGTCCATTGTATGTGTCTGAGAGTCCAGGTGCTGCTTGTGCAGCTTCTCCTCCAGGCTGCAGTGAGTAGATGCAGGCGGGTCACCAGCAGAGGCCCCATGGGCCAGTTGTGCATTGATTTCCTCTTGTGTCATGGCCCCTGCGCTGTCATCACAGAGGTCTCCGGCCACGTTTTCTGACCGTGCCCCAGTCCCCTAGCTTTCAGAGGAAACGGGCTCTTCCCAACACTGGGGGGGGGGGAAGGGGGGCAGCTGCTGGGAACCTGGCTCAGAGCCGCTGCTGAACTCAGATCTGTGGAGACCTAGAGCAAGCAGGACACCAGAGCCAGAACCCCTTCATTCTAGCGTGACCCACTCCAGCTGGTGCCTCTGTTATACGTTTTATAAAACCGGATCTCTCTGCCAGTGCAAAGAGAATCCTACCGGCTGGCTGGCTTGACACTCGATGGAAAGACTTTCCCAGGCCCATGGCAAGTGAAGCCCACAGACTGGTGGCTGGAGACAGCAGCTACCATGTGAGGGCAGGAAGCCATCCAGGCCACCCAATCCAAGGGCTGCACAGAGCGATGTCAGAAAAACACAGGCACCGGCTAAAAGGAGCTAAACAAGCAGGAGGCAGACACTGGCCTCCCCCTCCCCCGCACTGTTACTGCAACCTCCCTGTTGTCACTCCTCACTACACTCATGGCGGAGAATAAAGAGAATGTTAATGGTCCCAAGATGTCACTGGAGGAGGAAGGAGCAGGTCAGATATCAAAGGTTTTCTTTAATGCGGAAGGGCTCATTATTGTAGGACTATCAGAGGGACTCTGCTGGAGAGAGCACACCTTGAGCATTAGGAGGCTATGCATTGGCTGACATTTCTCCCCTGTACCAGCTGCCTCTGTGCCAGCTGAGTGCTGATTTTTACGGTTGATGCACCAGAAACAAATCAGCTGGCGTGACTGTATCTTTGAATTAGATTTTGAAAGGCAATGCATTAAATTCTCAGACCAGAGTTGTAAATGCATAACGTAGTCAAGGTGAAAATCAATTACTGTGAACATGAGCCATTAGTTAAAACCCAACATCTCTACCAGGTACTGGTGACTTAGGAATTCATCTCAATGCTTGCACTTCTCACACTCCTGGCCGTAACTAGTTCTTACAAGGGACGGGGGAATGTATGTATATGTGTGCTTGCACGTGTGTACGTGTGTCTTTGGTCTCTGACATCTTTAGAATATGTACTCCCAATTAGAGGTCGTCACATCGCTTGCACAGGATACTTTCAAAGCTCCTCAATGTCGATTCCAATACTCCTTCTTCAGAACAATGAAGCCAAATTTTTAACTAAATAACATTTGACTCCAGACTTTTCCTGGGAAGGTACATTTCTCCAGAAGCTACTTGTAAATGAGTTGAGAATACAGCTGTTAGTTGTTTCTAAAAGAGCAATATTGGGTGGCCACTTGGCTTATTTACAAAACGTATAGCTTTGTGACTTTTAGCAGGTGGGCCTTCTGGCCAGGGTTTATACCTATCAAGTCTGGGTAGGATTTTAGTTAGCATGCTTGGCTTCTGGGAAAATAAACATTGGTGGCATCTTTTGGGTTTTGCCAAGGATTCGTAAAGGCCAGGCATACAGGAACATGACACCCAGCCGAGCTCGCCCCAGAGAACAGCACATCCTCCATGAGGAAGGCGGGTAGATTACACTTCTCAGCAGCACCGAGGCCTGTGACTCCCTCACTCTGCCCCCGGGGCTTCCTGACACTCCTCTGTTTTTGTCCTGGTGGGTGATACTGAAGTCTGGATCTGAGAAAATTTTGGTTGTTGTTTCCACTCTATCCTCCATCACTGAGTAGCACCATGCCTAAAGTATGCCAAAGAGACGAAATTTTTACTCCATTCTTAGAACTTTCCATGTCATGGGCCAAGGTTGCAGCCTTCTTAGCTAGAAAACACTTCTATAGCTAACTGAAAACCCTTTCTATACAGCTTAGGAATTGGTTTACGATCTTCCTAAACTTCTATACTCCATTTCTTCTTAATCAAGGAAAATTAAAAAGAGCCTGTCACTCTGGTAATTGGTGCCTGTTGGTCCTCCATCTCTGTGTCCTTTACATATGCTCATTGCTCAGTAAATGTCTGTGACACATAGCCCTTCGGAGTCTGAAGGCTGCCAGTCCCAGAATTATAATTTATGAAATTCACCCTGATCCCTCTTTGGTCAATGTCCACTCACCAATGACTTGGTTGTAATCCTGATGGACGAGCTAGTCCACATACAGAGAGCAGGATTTTTTGGTTTGTTTTTATTTCTGTTGTTTTTTAACTGAGTATCCTGGTGGCTGCTTGTGCTTTAAGGCAAATAAATATAAGTTGGAAGCTAAGAGCTGGAAACATTTTCATTTTGTAAGTGGATTTCTCTAAAATGAACTAAAGAATAAAAGCACCGCTCAGGGCTCATGAAATTCCCATTATGATGGGCATATTTTTAAATTATATTTTACCAGGAGAAACAGAATACTGAACTGAGAGGTGAGAGGTGTGTGTAGGGGGTGGGGGGGGGGGGTCCTTTATTGTCAGAATTGTTTTCATCTCTTTATGTACATTACGGTGCTTCAGCCTCTTTCTGTTCAGTCAGGTGTCCTGTAAGATGACAGAATACAGGTTTCAGTGAATACACCAATAATGTACCATATAAACTGGGCTTTTCATATCCAGCAAACACCTTCTCCCATCACTGTTATCCAGGCATGAATAGGATGGCTGTTTGAAGGCAAAGATAGTGTAACTGGTATATTCACAAATCCCGGGCTATTTGGCAGTTGGTTGACTTGATGAATTTCCCCATGCTAACCTGAATTTGAATACCTATACCTTGTTCACTTTCAGATGATATTTGACATATTTTACTAAACATTATGATGATAATTCATCTTATATGATTGTAAATTGAGTTTCTTTTCAAAACCTACTATTTGAGTCTACGGCCATACCACCCTGAACGCGCCCGATCTCGTCAAAACCTACTATTTGATGAACCATTTAGAGTGAATATAATCTATGTGAGAGTTAGTAAGGCTGATGTATTCAATATTATATCTAACCCAAATTACTTATGCCTGCTAACACTCAGTCTCGGTGAGCTAATTCTGTCCTCTTTCCTCTCCTTCCTCTACTAAAGATGTAACACTGTTCTTACTATTCCACAAAGTAAAGGCCAACACCCTGCAACAAAATTGATAAAATACGTTTTTAAATAAAGGAACAATATTAACAAGCAAACACAAAATTTTGAAAAACATCAGTTTTTATCACATACATGATTGCATTCAGGTGCTTATGGCTGAAGAACAACCTCACACTGTCCTCACTGGGAAATACTTTCCTCCCTGATACCCCCACACAATAGGTTTTGCTTAGAAGCATCTTTACATGGTATTAGGGAGGGGGAAGAATTATTTTTCCTCTTACCTTTCTAGGTTCTCCAGCTGGGGCCCTGTAAATTAAACTTATAAAAGATTAACAAGAGAAAATCAAGCCAACATTTATTAACACATGTACCACACCTACACATGGGAAAGCTTAGTGATGAGTAACTCAAAAAGGTGGTTAGGAGTTGAGCTTATATAGCATCTTCAAAAAAGAGTAATGAAATTTTAGAGAAGCAGCAAGACAAGGGAAAAGAATGTTGGGTTTCTAGAACAGCAGATTGTGAGGCGGTAACTGTCTTGGGGAAACTAAGGGCAGATAAGGTCACATTAATAAGGTTTGTTCATGCAGATCCATTTCAGAGTCAATTCCCAATCACTGGTGATAAGAATGTTCTGATCTTCCTGATATAGAGGGGGCACACGTCTACAAATGTATGTCCTGCTTTTATGCACATAGAAGAACAGAGAGCATTTCGTTATGTACTTCTCAATTATTTCAGTTCAAAATAATCCTTATGCCAACATATTTAGGGGTAGCTACCCTTCAATAGTGTAGCTTACCTTTGGACAGAACTTGTCAGTTTTTAAAGTATTTTCTCAAATCCTCTCTTAATGCAGAACAGATTCTAACGTTCCCAAGTTTTCAGAGCAGTAAACGGAGACTCAGATAACATTTTCAAACCGACATTTTCTGACCACTTATTGTCAGGCACTATGTGATTCCAGAGCAATAAAATGCAGTTGAGTTACTTTAAAAAGCTTGTATCTCACTTATATATGGAATCCACAAACTGAACTCACAGAAAGAGAGAACAAATAGGTAAGTGGTTTCCAGGGGCAGAAGGTGGAGGGTGGACAAAACGTGTGAAGGTGGTTAAAAGGTACAAACATTCAATTATAAAATAAATAAGTTCTGAGGATGTACAACTTGGTGACTGTAGTTAACAGCACTGTTTTGTATATTTGAAAGTTGTTAAGACAGTAGCTCTTAAAAGTTCTCATCACAAAAAAAAAATTAACTAGGTGAGGAGATGGATGTTAATGATTGTGGTGCTCATTTGTCAATATATACATACTATCGATAGTATATCAAATCACTATGTGTACACCTTAAATTAATACACTATTACAATACAATAGTACATGTCAACTATCTATAATAATAAAAGGGCAATGTGCTAATTACACTGGATGTCTTCCAGATGTCACTCCAGACATCCTCCCTGATGAAGCCAGGGCCCGAGGGAAGCCATTCTGGGTCCTGGGTGCCGGAGGGAAGCTGGTGCCGGCAGTGAGAGAAGGAAAACCTACTCTTGCCTAAATTTTCATGCATCAGGCCCCTAGTATCTTAATAAAACTGGAATTTTAAGAAGTCAGCCTAGTAGAGTGAGAAAATGCAGTAACCCGTAACAGCATGGAAGAAATAAGAATAAGATAGGGATGGCTACCTGGGAGGGAACACTACTTAGAAAAGGTGACATTTGGACTTGGAATTAAGGAGTGATTAGGAGTTCCCCAGGAGGGTTAGTTTGAGATCTTGGAATGGGAAAGGGGAACTGGATGATTGGGGCAAATGTCACCTTGAGCAGAGGAACAGCATGAGCTCAAGCTCTGAGACAGGGAATATATGGTGTTTCCTGTGTTTCCAAAGGCTGAGATGAGGCCAGAAGAATAGGCTGGGAGAGGCTGTAGGGGGCCTGTTCTGCCACGCTAAGATTATAATTCATTCTTTAGGAGAAAAGAAGAAGCATACCTGTGTTTTTAAAAAAGAGAAAGTGGAGAATGGGATGTATGGGAGGAAACTATAGAGAGATTAGGAGACCAGTAATGGGATGAGAAATGTTCGTAGCATAATTGCTCATAATCAATGTCTCAATTAGTGATTTTGGCAGTTCAGTCATTCAGTGAATTGACCTTCAATAACTTGAGTTTCAATGAACTGATTCACTTCTAATAGAGACACCAGGAGGGAGGGAGGGAGGGAGGGAGGGAGGGAGGGAGGGAGGAGAGAGAGAGAGAGAGAGAGAGAGAGAGAGAGAGAGAGAGAGAGAGACAGAGAGAGAGAGAATACAGGGGGGGGAAAGGAATGAGCTGAATTTGAGGGTTTTGTGGGGTGATGGAGATTTCTAGCTGTTGGAAATACAGATTGGTGGTCAAAAGACTGGCTTAATAGCAGAAAACTAGGACAAGAGTCCAGCACTTTGAGTTTTTGCTTTTTGCTCCCAATGAGTCCATGAGCTATAGATTTTCTCTTTTAATGAACTTTCAACACAGCATAATCATTGTCAACCCAGAATTCCCACCTTCACACCTTGTTCTTTATCCATTGGGAGTGCAAAACCACTTAATTATCATCACTCAAGATGATGTTGATGTTCAGAACAGAGCAAAAGTAATAATAATTAATAACTATTCTTAGTATTTCTCAAGCCCATCTCTCTCCAACACCGCCTTTCTTATGAGTTTGGGTGAATGTATAACAATGGAAAGTCATTTTAAAAGCTGCTTGTGGAAAAGATATAAATATAATCAATATCACTTTAAACAGCAGAACTAAAACCAATGAGTAAAATTTGCCACGTTCCCCAATAGTGGAATAGTCTAGCAAAGCTGAGCAACGCAGGCTGCCTTGCAAAGCAGAGAGCTCCCATTTCTATGTTGTGAAGTGGATAGTGTGGGGAAGAGTCCTGCAATGATGGGTAATTGCACTCCATGGTCTTACTCTAGTGTCATGATTCTAAGATTTTCATTTAGCTCAATTGCATGTTAAATAAATAGAGCTTTTTTTCAATAGCAGGTTTTTAGCTTATGTGTAACAACAAAAAAATAGCCTCACCTTATAGTGTGTGTATGTGTGTGTGTGTGTGTGTGTGTGTGTGTGTGTGTGTGTTGAATAATTCACAGTTCTATCCACCTCTCATATCATCAATATTTGCAAATAATGCATGGGTCTTAATGTAATTATATTGCTAATCCTGGGATTAAAACCTTGTGTGTAAATCAAACTGGAACCTTTTGGGAAATATTTTTTTGTTCATTACAAACTTTATGTGGAAATTTTTTAAATAAAATGGTTCAGGATGAAAGCAGTAAAGAACTTGGTTTTCCTTCGGGGTGAAATATCTAGGCTGCAGACATTTTGCTTCTAACTTGATGACACACACTGAGAACAGATTCTTTTCTGCTCCTGTCAGCCCAATGCCGACTGCATGGATGACCTGCCCACCGACTACGAGGGGTCCCTGGGAGGCCCACCGACCAACCAGATCACAGGTGCAAGCGACACGACTGTAAACGAAAGTTCAGTCACTTTGGACCCTGCTGTCCGGACTGTGGGAGCCTTGCAGGTGGTCCAGAATACAGACCCCACCCCGCAGGAGGGAGATGTAATCTTTTCTACTAACAGTAAGTTCTGTGCTCAATAGTGCCGTATTCAAAAGGGCTGTTGCCTTGTAGGAGTGGGGGGAAAAATTCCATCAGGACCAAAAAAATTGCCAAGTTAAACAATTACACCCGATAGGCCTTTAGAAGCCCAGCTCTGTCCAGAGTCAGCACACCTGGCTCTGTTCTGCTGCCCACACACTGACACCAGCTCTGCACACGCCCCGGGCTACCTGCAGCTGGGAGGGTGGTGGGTCTGGCCTCAAGAATGGAGGGCCGGTGAGAAAAGCAGCTGTTGGGGATGCTCAGTGGGACTGAGATAGGGCACAGCACCCCTCACACACATGCCCATGCATGTGTTGTGTGTGTGTGTGTGTGTGTGTGTGTGTTTGTGTGTGTACTGGTCTGGACTGTATGTAAGAAATTGCTCTCCGTTGCTGCCCCAGGACTCATATGTAAATGACACCCATTTAGAAGGGTATTTTCCCAGTACAACCTAAACCCCTGAACATAAAAAATTAATAATAAAATAAAAAAATAAACCCCTGTACATCCGGCATATTAATATACCAATGGGGTTTCTTCCCCATCTCCTGCATAAATGCTTAACTCAATACTGTTCTGTTTGGTGTTAGTTGTAAAAATATTGAAGATTGAAACAAAACAAAAAAATCTGAAGTATTTACTCATCACTTTAATACAATAGAGATAGCTTCAGGCGTTGTGAGAAATCCAGCCCACAAATTAACACAGGTTGAAGATTAAAAGTGGGGATGGCCGAAACCAGTTTGGCTCAGTGGTAGAGCATTGGTCTGCGGACTGAAAGGTCGCAGGTTTGATTCTAGTCTGGGGCATATATGTTGGTTGTGGGCACATCCCCGGTAGGAGGTGTGCAGGAGGCAGCTGGTCGGTGTTTCTCTCTCATTGACGTTTCTAGCTCTCTATCTCTCTCCCTTCCTCTCTGTGAAAAATCAATAAAATATATTAAAAAAAAAAAAAAAAGTGGGGATGGATAGTGTAAGTTTTAAATAAGGTGTATTTCGTCCCTGGACAGAAATAACCAATTCACTATAGAAAGTTTGGAAATATAGAAAAGCAGATTAAAGCATTTTAGGATATTTCCTTTTAAGTGTCCTCTTTTTTACACATTTGCAATGTTTATACAATTTATAAGCCATTCATGCTGAAATTCAAAGATATGCACTTTTCTAATGAAGAAACATAATAGTCTTCATTGTTAAAAGATTGAAAGATGAAGAAAAGAATTTTAAAAATTCAAAAATTGTTCAGTACCCCATTACCCAGAAATAATCATTCATAACATTTTGGCATATTTCCTGATTATCTGTTATGATCTACTTGAGGCAAAACCATAGGGGCTGACGGTTGAGTGTTGTAATCATAGGACTCTCACAGGACCTGAGAGAAAGCAACCTCAAGAGGAACTTGGTGATAAATATCTGCCCACGCAAGGTTCATTCACTTGGGGTAGTGTTTTAACTTGACTTTGAGAGGCATAAGGACCACAAATTGAAACACTCGCCATTCAACATTAAAGGCTTTTAGAGATGGGATTTGATCCCTTTGTTTTGAAGGTGTGGAGTGATGCTGCCCAATGTAGTTAATGCAAGCCATGAACGTAGTTTTATGTTTTCTACAGCCACACTACAAAAATGGGTGAAGTTTATTTTAATCATATTATTAACCCACTATAACCAAAATATTTTACCTTTTTTGGTACTCACTGAGAATCTGGTGAGTATTTTTTACTTATGGCACATCTCAATTCTACAAGCCATGAAGTAAGTGCCTGGGAGCCAGGTGTGGCAAGTGGCCCCATAGGGGAGGACTCATTTAGAATCCTAGTAATTTGGGAAGAACCTCGAAGGTCATTTAATTTTTGCCATGACAAACTTCTAATTTTTACCATGAGAAAATCGTGGCCCAGAGGAGTAAGTGGCTGATTCAGATCAAAGAATAAGTTCTCTTTTCACAGTACCAGATTATCCTATTCACTTCCAGTCATTGGACATCTTCAGTTACCATCAAGTATATCCATCTGAAGTATACAGGGAGGCCTGATAGAATGTTGCTAGCAGTTCAAAAACCTGGAACACATGAGCCTTTTTTGAGCCCATGAGAAGAACCAAGTCAAAAATGCATTATTGTCCTTGCAATGAAATGGTTTTTTTTAATATTCAGAAGAAAATCTGTCCTTTATTAGATTTTGAAAAGTGACTACATGCTTCATACATCTCAGTAAATCCCAGATGGCAATTGAAGAGGCATAACATGTGGGTTTAAAAATGAAATTGAAAATTATGATCAGTATTCATATAATTTATAATCTGTAAACTGTTTTGCCCAACATAAACTCCAAGTGTTTAGGTCATAGCAGGCATTCAGTAGATGTTGATTGAATGACCTGAGGTGAAAGTGTTTGATCTAAGCTTGAAACAAGGAGCCTCTATTCACACAGGAGGAAAAATGGCAGGTAATTTCAAAGGAAAGTATGGGTAGAGACTCAGAGTGACTAGAGGTATGTGACCACATCTATAGTCTGAAAATTGATGTCATATACCAGTGTGTGTGTGTGTGCGTGTGTGTGTGTGTGTCTAGAGATATCAATCTCATAATATAGAAACTTAATTTTTTCATTAAATATTTTTCCTAGACAATTTATTTGTGATTGATTTATGGGGATTTAATAGAATAGTTCAAATATAATAATTCTGATTAGATGTTTATACCATTAGCCGAATTACTGTAGATTTCATAAGGGGAATATACTCTGCTCTCTCCAGGTTTGTAAATGGATTGCATTGTGCCCTAACTCAAATAAATAATCAATAAATAAACAATCACAGATGTATGAATAAGTGAGTGAAAAAAATTCAAGTTCTCATCAGCATTATTGTAACCAATTATATAATGCTATCAAAAAAAAAAATTGGATGGAAAAATAAATGTAGTTGTGATACAGTATTGCTCAACAACCCATTGGGGGTTGGACCTGATTTTTCTTTACATTATCTTTTCCCACCTCACATCTCTATAGACCCAAGAAATTTACTAGAAATGAGGAAATAACAGTAGCTAATAAATATATAACACCAACTATGCAATAGGCACCCTTTAAAACCACTTATAAAATTAGCTCACAACAACTCTATGGTAAATATTATTTTAGCCTCATTTTACTGATACAGCAACCGAGGCACAGAGAGATTGAAATGACTGGCCCAACCTCATAGTGGCAGATGGAGCTGGAATTCGGAGAAGCCTCTGACCAGAGCCCCATGCTAACTACTCAAAGGTGCCCTAGGGGAGAAAATGGACACAGGTATTCACTCCCTTCCCATTTCATTTTTTCTTTTCCTCCATTTTTCTAAACCTCTTAAAGCTCAATAATGTGTGTAGCTCCTACTTGAATTCTCATTCATCCCTCCCTCTGTTCTTCCTTTCCTGGCAAAGACTCTTCATGGGTTGGTCAAATGCATTTAAAAGTCATCTCAGCACTTGGGGGTGGGCAGGGGTTGGGGGTCTAACAGATCGCCTTTAGAGTGAAGACAGGAAAACCTGACGCTAAAGGATCATCTTTAGCTCCCAGGAAAAAGAAACAAAGAAAAGCATTGACACAGCAGAGAAAATCCGAACTTGTTGCAAGTCTGACATTTGAAAGACATTCCTTATGCATATCTTTAATGTTCCTGACATTTCACCTAGTATGACCTCACGTGGCAGTGCCAAATCACAGTGTTTCTCCTGTGCCTTGGTTAATGCAAGTGGCCATTTGTATGGATGTTCAGAGGTCACTCACCAGTGTCTAGCTGCCTGATGACCACAAAGCTTACTTTTCCCTCTGATTCCCCAAGCCCAGGTGGCAGTTGTTGTACTTGCTTCAGGAAGGGGAAAGTCCCTTAGCCTCAGGAAAAGGAAAACACAGCTAAACAAACAGCCCCGGGTGTTGGGGGATTCCAGAGACTCGAAAAAGACACCAAGAGGGAGACTATCAACCCCTTCCCAAGACACTCCGTGTGCTCTGTGTCTTCTCGAGGGGGGAGGTGGGGAGGACAGAAACCTTCCCTTTGTTTCTCAAGGAGGTTGTTGAAGCCACCATCCATTTCCTGTACTGAATCTACACAACCATTTTTAGGTGCCTCTAGATCGTCACCCATCTGCCCTTCCTTCACATCAAACTAGAAGGACCCCATTGTCAGCCCATGGGTGGAGGGTGGAGGGTGGAGGGTGGAGGGTGGAGGGTGGAGGGAGCCAGGGCAGAATCAGGATGCCATAAATCTGCCCCAGTACTCTGAGGAGCACCTGGCATAATGTGTTTGGCCAGAAGAACACCTGGTCTTCTCGTGTTACGGAAGGAAGCAGAACACATGAGTTGCTGCTAAAACTCAGCCTGTTTAAATGTAGTGTAGAATGGAATTCCTCTGAGAAACTTCCTTTGCTAACTCTCTATCAACTCCGGTCCTGGGGGGCGTGAAGTGCATCTAATATGTTGGGCATCTAATATGTACAATAGTACACCCAGGTCAGGTGTACTTCTGGCCAAACACATTATGCCATGTGCTCCTGGCACTATCCAGCCATCACTTCCTCTCCCAGACACCAGGCAGGAAAGAGACCTGAGTCCATGACTGCCTGTTTAGCTTTTCTAAGGCTGAGTCAGTTCTCCCTGAGCCCCACCTACAGGGTCAGCATCCCTGGGTTCCCACACTGGCTAAAGCAGTAGATTCAGCAGGATGATTCTCTCTCCATTATCTCTTTACCAATTCCTCACCTCACCTCTCTCTCTCCCTCTTTCTCTCCCTCTCTCTCTCTCTCCTTTTTATTGCCTCAAAATGGGTGATGGGGTCAAGAATCACAAACCTGCTTCCCTTCAGATCCCTTGTGCATCAGGCAATGGGCAGGGAGCAAAGGTGGGTGGAAGGCTGAAGAGGCTGCCTCCCTTGCTGTCCACGTCTCTTCAGTAGAAATAGAGTCAGGAAGCATCCCTTGAGAGTGTGCAAAAG